TACCTATCTTTTGCTCTTCACTCGATTCCTACTAACAATATCAGAAACAATATCATACATCCCATATGCCGGCATGAGGTGAAACTAGGTAAAATCTTGCAGGTTATTCCAGTCTGACAATTCTGTAAAACAAAAAAAAAATGTAACATGGTGTTAGCTGGGAATACAGCAGAGAAAGGTCTTCTGTATCTCTCACTAAGCAGGGATGTCAGACTTGACAAGCTCTGATGTTTTTCATTGAGAAATCACTTTTTTGGTCTTTCCACAGACAGCACACTACTTTATAAATCAGAATTGAATTACTCTCAGGTTCTGTTTACTACCAAAGACTTACTTCACTCCGTTTGCCCACACAAGACAACACATGATTAACACCCACATTCCAAAGAATTTGCTGCACCAGGACAATTTCAGTGAGGACTGAGCCCTTGGGCTGACTACAACTAATTCAGTGGTTAGGCAGAAGGCTCCAAAGATACTATGTTTTCACAAGTTCATGGAAATCACTTGGAAGAAGCAATAAATCTTGTTAGCATCCTCTCTGAGACAAAGTTTACATGGTATTTTCAAACTTAATTCAATACTTGAGAATCCTTACAGGAGTAGGCTAATTCAGAGCAAACTGGTCATTGTGTGTTGCGGTGTTCACTGAACAACAGATTTAGGAATGTGTGCATGGTGCTAAATACACACCTTTCAAATCACTTGTATTTTTATTCTAGGATTACCTAACAAAGAAGAATTGTCCCCAGTCAATCTGCAAACAGCAGTTCAGAAAACAAGCCACAGGTGTGGAACCAGTGACCACGCCAGCTTCTGTACAAACCACAGCAGCAGGGACCATGTTCTTAGGTAGAAAGTGTTGAGAAAAGCTGGACTGTTCCTCCTCTTTATCCCAAAATAATGTGGTCACAGCACTCCCCAAAGACAGGCAGCAGTACAGATTGAGATCTGTCACAGCCTCAGGGGACAAGGATCCCCCAGGTCCCTGCTAAATATCTTAACCACAGGTTAGACGCCTCTTTACATCTCCTGCTCCATGGTGCAATTTGGTCTTTCAGAATGTCATGCAACAGTGCTGTTTATCATAAAACAACTCCACTCCTTAAATTCTGT